TCTGCTTCTTCGTCGTCGCTCCCGGATTGTCGGTGGAAGCTGGTGCTGGCGTTGAGGGGACGACTACCGGAGAGGCTTCTGAGACAAAAGCATTACACAAAGTGAACACTTACAAAGACTTCGAATGGTGAGAGGTTATCCGCGAAAACAACATTTCGTACAGAAATTCATATAAAAAAGGTATCATGCGTGTGGTCGCCATGCACAGATCGCAGGGTCTGATCAAGGCACGTCATAGGTGAGAAATGTCCTTGTAGGCCACTTGAAGTCACCCTTGGAGATATGTAGTGGGGTGTGGCTTGCTAAGAGCATAATTGAAACATCCAGTAAAACTTACTCGATTGGCACAGCGTTCCATAGAAACCCGTCGAGCATACGCAGATCGACATCGACCTCGTACCGCCGTTCTCGCATATCGGCTCATCACAGTATTCCCCACTGTATCCCGCAGGACATACACACTCGCCAAATCGGTTCACTTCACCGCCACTACACGTTTCCGCTAAAAATTCTTCTTTAGAGGAACGAAAATTCTCCGAAAAAGCTGGAAGGCTAACACAGCATAGCGGATAAGCCTACTTTCATACTTTGCGGCAGCGTCCACCAGCGACCGCGGCCATTCCGAGCGTCCGGTCAGTCTGTCATGCGACTAAGAAAGAACAAATATCGATCTAGCGTCCACCAGCGTTCACCAGCGACCGGAGTAGAGAGTATGGGGAAGTAGGAGGGTAGCAAACAGCTGGATTAGGCGTCGTGAAATTGCGGCGTGTGCAACCGTACCGTACAACATCACGTCACACCGCGTAGCAACGTGTACTATCATTCACACGGTAAATTAAATTGCATAATTCTAAGCTTTAGCAGTTGTGCCGTGGCACTTGTGCACACGCTGCTTTCATGACGCCTAATCCACCTATTTGCAACCCTCCTACTAGCCGATATCTCTACTCCCGGTCGCTGGGTGACGCTGACGCTGGTAGACGTTGGTAGACCGCTAGAATGACCTATGTTTCCCTAGCCCTCGAGACGATAGCAGAAGCTATATGGATATCTTATGGCTCGCTTGGAACGCTAGTGGACGCCGGTAGACGCTGGTGCCGCAAAGCATGAACACAGCGAGAGATTTGGTTCACTTCCAGTCAATTCCTTTCGCTCACTTCACATGAATGGCCACGCAAATCATGTGGGTGAAGCGTAACCATTTTGCCTTTCTCACTGATGAACCTCCTTCCAAAACTGTATTGAGGACATGTTGGTGAGCAAGGCTGATTGACTGTCTCCGCCTATGCGACCAGCTTGGACTGCGCTTTTGAACCCACCCGTCTTATTCACTTGAGAGAAGAAGAACGTCCTTTGGAAGAAGAATTCTGGACTGTGAATAGCCGGAGACTTCCATTCTGACCAGTGGTGCTGACGTCATCTATAACATAAAATCAAACTTGTCTGTAGAGCTGTGGATAAAATCTTGTGCTCGTTCCCACCTCGAAATTTGGACTGATAAACTGATAGGCACATTTTTTGGCATCACGAGGTTGAACCTGAACCCAGGAGAGATTGTAGACGTCATTCCATGGCTCTATCAAATTTGATGACCCATATTTGGTCCGATCAATCGTGTAGTTAGCGGAAGAGACACGGAATGTGGCGAATGTGTGTTTGTCAACGCCTGAAACTTCTCGTAGTGAGTATTCTCTATGGGGAAACATTTATACAAAATAGAAATGGTTTTGATTAGCTATTACCTCTTGACGAGAAAGGGGAATCGGCTGGGAAATCTGACTTTTCTTCCGAAGTAAAACCAGGAATTACTGTGAGCGGCGAAATCACGCGGACCTGAAATGTATTAAAGAAAACAATTCTGGTACAAATGACGGGCTGTACACTGGTACTTCCTAATTGTGGCATTGGCATCGCAATACGTGTTGAAGTGGAAAAGAGTCGATTGGAGTGCCTCCATGGGTGGATTGGGTCCTGATGCGAATGCCGCATCAGGACCGACTTCCTCAACTTGGCAGCGCTTCTGGATGTCAATTCGCTTGCAACGTCTGTTTCGCAGCTGCTACGAAGTAACGCTTCCAATGGCTACTGTGCAGGCAGACTCCGCGCTGGATGTGGGAGGAGTGGGTGCTGATCATTGCGTTGACGCTGAAAATTAACTTGACATACTCCATCACCTGTATGTCGAACCAATCAGGTGTGAATGCCGCGCATGGGAGGTCGCTTGAAACGCCGCATTTCCCCGTCATAGCGCTGTGGGCGTAACAAGCTGCACCCGCGGGAGAAGCGCTGATAGAGCACGTCCAGTCAGAAAAACGCTATCGCGCGCCTCAGTAGCTAGCCGGCTAGGCTGGCGGGCATCCAACTATAAGCGCTCATCGAACATCGCATGATCAACTCCGCCTTCGTGAAAAAGTGTGCCAAATACGCGACGCGCGTATCGAGACCAGGGCACGTGCCACCGTCAGGAAAAAAATCCGCAAAGTACCCCCCCCCCTCCTCCCCTCTCGGGATTCCCTCCACTGGAGCGATACTCCTTCCTCAATCTCCATTCGACCCACATCTTCTTGAATCTTCCCAATTTCCTACCACTTTTTTCCCCAAAAACTGCCGCGTCGAGTGAGGGAAGGAGGAGGGAGGGCGGGTGCTACAGAGCGCTTATGATATGGGAAAAGCAGGTAATGTTAGCAACTAAAGACATTTTTCTCAAAGCAAATACGACCTCCCTCTACCTCCACCGACCAAATGCACCCCCTCCCAATGCAACGTAAGACGTGTCCTAATTGCGGCTTGCTCTTTACTACAGAGTTAATTTGAAGTTTAGGAACTACACAACCAGCTTTATTTTACGAAAAAAAAGCTTGTGATATTGTTTACATTCTTTGAATCGCAACAAAATGAGGGCATCAGAAGAGATGAGATAATTTTCAAAGCCCTACTTTTATTCCCGAACCTGACTCCATAATGGGAGAAAGCACAAAAAGCACCATACCTGCGTGTAACATGCACCTGAAGTAGTCTTCACTGATAGCGACCAGGGTATTGGAAGAAGTGCAAACATCGCAGGATCTGGAATTCGCTGTTTAGCGTTTGCACCGCACACAGGCCACAAGGAACTCCTGGGGATAACCTACCGATCACCAATGCAACTGCGTTTTTGTCCTTGTAAATCGCGTGCCCTGACAAATCAATGGGATTCTCTGAAAAAAATTTGTTATGTCGATCAACTCTAGTTAACACCCCATCAAAACAGAGGAATCGATAAAGTAGCAAAATAGCTTCTTTGGTACCTTCTTCTGGACCCCTTAGTTCGACAAAGGGGTTTCAGTGATTTTCGAATTAAAGGACAGGATAAAGTCTTCGCCGTTGATCAATCCCTTTGTGGGATGCGGCACGCATTCTACTTCCATTCAGAATCGTAGTGGCTTATTGAATGCGATGTGGCCTATACAATGACTTGCGGTGGCCAGCCGATGTACAAGTCAGTGTATCCTCCCAGACGAATCTGGTACCAATTTACCGCTCCCGGAGGTAGTGGTAAACTGGTACTGGTAAGCGCGCCACTTGTCACCACAACACCTCCGCCTCGATTTTCGACTCACCATAAGTAATCAGGCCCTCCGCCCAACCACACGCCCAAAGGCTACAGTACAGTACAGTGGTGACTTCTTTAACTTTCTGATCTTTAGGAATTAGGGCAAAGCGTGGTCAGAGAGAACAACGAGGTTTAAGCCGCTTCGCTTGAGAGGCCATATTTTGCTTATTGAGGAGGTGGAGGGGGGGGGGCTCCCTGTTATTTAACAGAAGTACCCTTCAAAAAAGTAGATAATATAGGAGCAATAAATGCACTTACTAGCCGAGTCACTCAAGAAAACCGCGTTGTCTTCTTGAACACCTAGGCCAACCACATTTATGACAGCGGTGGTGGCAACATCTTCTATGAAAAAGCTGAACGCGGTCGATTTCGAACAATCCTAAACAAGTGGTAAAAAATTTACTGTAAACCTTTTTTGCATTTTCGACGGAACCGTTGAGATGCGCTATTTAAGCCAACCTCAGCTGCGTCGTCCAGTACCAACGAAGTTGCCTTCGATCGACGACACCAGCAATGACGTCAGCTAAAAGCATGAACCCTGCAGGAAATATTTGACAGTGTATTTCTAGATTCTCCCTAATTTACCCCCAGGTA